ACTCATGTTGTTCTCGATGAAGTCCACGAACGTTCGATTGATAGCGACTTCCTCCTCATCGTCCTTCGGCGGTTGATGCAAAAGAGGCCCGATTTGAAGTTAATCCTGATGTCGGCCACACTTGAGGCGCAGCGCTTCTCCACCTATCTTGGCGGTGTTCCGGTACTGAACATCCCAGGTCGGACTTTCCCCGTGGAGATGAAATTTCTAGAGGATGCCATCGAGATGACCAACTACCGGTTGTTGGAGAATGAATCCAACGCTGTGGAGGAGGAGACGGACGAATTGGCGCTAGAGACGGCGCAGGGCGACACTGCTGGCAGCCTGATGACTTCGCTTGATGGATATTTTAAGCAAACCAAGGAGACCGTGGCAAACTTTGACGAATATCGCTTGGACTACCAGCTCATCAAGCGGCTGGTTGTGCAGATCGCTTCATCGCCTGACATGACACACTACAGCAAGGCCATCCTTATCTTCATGCCCGGTATGGCGGAGATTCGTCGGCTGAACGATGAGGTTCTGTCGGACCCGACTTTCCAGCAGGGATGGATTGTGCATGCGCTGCACTCATCTATCGCCAGCGAAGATCAGGAGAAGGCTTTTGTGGTTCCTCCTGAGGGTATGAGAAAGATTGTAATTGCCACCAATATTGCAGAGACAGGTATCACCATCCCCGATATTACTGCGGTGATTGATGCGGGCAAAGAGAAGAGCATGAGGTTAGTAGAGGAGAACGTGACTGAGTAATGAAGTAGCTAACTTGCCCAGGTTTGATGAACGCCGTCAGCTATCTAGGCTCGTCGAAACGTTTATTTCGCGCGCTAATGCGAAGCAACGACGTGGACGAGCTGGTCGTGTGCAGAATGGTATCTGCTTCCACCTGTTTACGAAGCATCGCCACGATAAACTGGTATGTGTAGCGACCATGGCTGCAACATTTCATACTGACTAGTTGTAGCTCGCAGAACAGCAGACGCCCGAGATGCTCCGGTTGTCTCTCCAAGATCTTGTGCTGCGTGTCAAGATCTGCAAGCTGGGTGAAGTGGAACCGACGCTGCTGGAGGCGCTCGACCCGCCGTCATCCAAGAACATTCGCCGGGCAATCGATTCGCTGAAGGAGGTGAAGGCCCTAACAAACGCGGAGAATTTGACCCCTCTGGGTCTGCAGCTGGCCAAGCTGCCGTTGGATGTTTTCCTTGGAAAGTTGATCATCCACGGCGCCTTCTTTCGCTGTTTAGACGCGGCCGTCAGCATCGCCGCTATTCTCTCTTCGAAGTCGCCATTTGTGAACACAATGGGCTCCAACACCCAAAAGGACATTGCTCGACTGTCCTTCCGCAAGGGTAGGTACTTCCCAATTACTGTTTTCTACTTGTCACTAACAGAATCTAGGCGACTCTGATCTGCTGACGGTATACAACGCCTACTGCGCGTGGAAGCGCGCCCGCAACACACCAGGTGTGAGCGAATACGCCTTCTGCCGCAAGAACTTCCTCAGCTCGCAAACTCTGCTCAATATTGAGGACATCAAAATGCAGCTGATCGTATCAATTGCCGACACAGGGCTACTAACGCTCGACCCATCCCAGAAAGCGCTCCTCAACCGGTACGCTCTCCCCACCCCCATCATGCGCAAAATCCCTACTAACAAATAACCAAAAATACAGTTCCCGATCCAACAACCGACGCAACTTCTTCACCATCCCGGAAGAATACGATTTCAACAGCGCCAACGACACCATAGTCAACTCCGTAATCGCCTGGAGTTTCTACCCGAAACTGCTCACCCGCGACGGCAAAGGCTGGCGCAACGTCGCCAACAACCAAGCCGTCACGCTGCACCCCACCTCGGTGAACAAGCAAGCCGACGCATCAGCCATAAAATGGGTGTCTTATTACCACATAATGCAGGGCCGGAATAAGAATTATAATGCGTTCGAAACGACGGCTGTGGATGACTTTGCTATTGCGTTGTTGTGCGGAGAGGCTGAGTTTAAGGTACCCCAATACCCCCTTACACATACTCACCAATATAAGATCAATACTAATAACATTCAAAAATGGAAACAGATGTACTCCGGCGTCATATCCATTGACTCCAACCGCATCCGCTTCTCCCTACGTGATTGGAAAGGCATGCTTGCGCTGAAGACCTTGAGCGCGAGACTGCGCGAAATCCTCCAGAATACGTTCCGTGAGCCGTATCGCGTGCCGTCGTATAAACAGCAGCAATGGCTGGGTCTGTGGCAGATGATTTTTGCTCAGGTGAGGAAGTAGTTGTCTACCTACCCTGGTTTAATTAGCTTATGATTGGGGTTTGGATTGCTTGATGGTATGTATGTATGTGTGCATTGGGTTTAGCTTTCTGGAAGATGCTTGTTTGCTTGTCTTGCCTCTGGACTACTAGACTTGGATTGGACAATTGGGATTGAATGTATTGGGTTTCTGGTTGGGTTGAATTGAATTGAAATGGGTTGGGTTTGTATGGATGAATGAAATGCGTGTATGTATGTATGTATGTATAAGGACTGGATGGTGATGAAAATAAGAAGAAGAAGAAGAACGAGGAAAAATGGGATGAGAAAATGAATGTATATGATATGAAATTCGATAGATGGATATAACTCATGAAACTCCAACATAAAACAAAAAGAATTTGTTGTTCATAACCAGATCACATCACGATATCATTGAAGAAGAAGAAGAAGAAGAAGAAGAAGAAGAAGAAGAAAATAGAAATGATTGATCACCCCCAAACATCCTCCTGCCACTTCCCCCTCTTCTTCAACCCCTTACACCACTCATTCCACTGCCCATCACCCTCCTGCCACCCCTTCACCCTACACATCTCCCCACCGACCCTCTTCTCCACCTCTCTCGCCATCCCCGCCCTCCCACAAATATACAAGTTGGCCCTCTCCTCCACCAACAACCTCACCACCTCATCCCCACACTCGACAATCTTATCCTGCACATACTGCCTCTTCACTCCCCCGTCCTCATATCTCGAGAATGCCGTCTCAATGCGCAACTTCCCACCCAGCCCCTCATTCAGCGCCTCCAACTCCTCCTTATAGATGTAATCCTCGTCCGGGCGGCGACACCCAAAGAAGAGGATCATCTGCCCTACTTCGCGACCAATCTGCTGCAGTTGGCGACGTTCGGAGATGAACGCCCGGAACGGGGCTAGGCCCGTGCCTGCGGCGATCATGATGAGGGGGGTGTTTCCGGTGCGGGGCAGTTTGAATTTACTTTTGCGGAGGTGTGCGAAGACTTTTTCGCTGTTGAGGGCGTTGCTGGGTCCGTTGAGGTGGTAGGTTAGGCCGTATGGGTGGGGGGTGGATGGGGAGGTGCGGTGTTGGGATAGCGCGAGGAGGTAGTTCGAGGTGATGCCGTGGATGAGTTCGTCTGGGTTTTCGGGGACAGGGGTAGTTGAGACGATGGCGGTGATGGAGGGTTTGCGGGGGGAGAGGACGCTGCTGGAGGAGATGGAGTAGTATCGGGGTTGGATGGGGGAGAGGGTCTCGACCAGGTAGGATAGAGGTAGGGCGGACCAGGAGTTGTCTGGGGAGGCGAGTTGGAGGAGACGACTGAGGGTGACGTGTGTGCGGTTGAGGAAGTTGGCGTAGCTGGTCTTGTCTTGGCCTAGTTGGAGGAGGTATGTCTTTGCTTCGGGGGTGGGTGCGAATTGTGCTAGACCGAGTACTGTGTCGCGGTTCAGGGGAGCACAGATCTCCAGGTAGTAGCGGAAGAGGGCTGCCGCGGTCGTGGGGGTGGGAATGCGCACTTTCGTGGCTGGGTCGAGGGATTTGATGGAGATGGGCACCTCGCGGCGTAGAGTAAGGCCCAGTACCTGGAGGAGACGCTCGACCTCGGCGTCGGGGTTGCTGGGCCAGATGGCGAGGTGGTCGCCCGTCTTGTAGGTGAACTCGGGGACACTGGACAGGTCCAGCTCCATGTGTAGACAGTGGCGGTCCGAGACCTGGAAGAGCTCACGGGTGCTGGAGATAGTCACTGGCCGCACGGGGGAGCATTGCGCGGATGCCCTGCTAGCATCACGGGCATCTGGCTCGCCGTGGTTCAGATCAATAGGCTCCAGGGACTCGTCTTCCTCGACGGATAGGGTGGGCAGGTACTGCATCTCACCCTCCTCGAAGCCAAGCTGGGACTTGAACATGGAAAACAGCTCGTCCTTCCAGCTGATAAAGTCCTCCTGCGTGGCCCCCTCAGCATCGTTAGCCCTACCAACGGGCATGAGGGCCTTTGCACCTCGACCATCGAGCGCCTGAATGACGACGTCCACGACACGGTTGTAGAATTTGTAGTTGCTATTCCCCAGACCAAACGCACAATACCTCACATTAGCCAGCGAGACATTCTCCGCCTTGTGAATCCAATCCCAGAACTCAGCTGTGTTATCACTGGGATCTCCTTCGCCATAGGTAGATAGAATGAAGATCGCCAGCTTGGACTGAGGAATCTGGGAGATACTCTCCGGGTCATAATCCGACAGATCCGCCGTCAGAGTACCCTGACGGAAGCGGAGGGCGATTTCACGCGCCAATCGATGGGCAAAGCCCTCGGCCGTACCGGACTGCGATCCCCAGAAGACGACGATGCTCTTGTCCGCCTCTTCCAGCTTCTGGGCAATGTTGCGGGTCTCTTGGTGGGCATTGGGGCCGGCGGAACCGGCCATCTTCAGCTGGGGACGTTCATACCAGAGGTAGTTGTAGGGGTCTGGCTGGTCCCAGAGGATGCCGCGCGACAGGTAGGTCGTGCCGGCCATGGCGAGGAGTGTCAGAGCGGCATAGTCGGCGACTCCAGTGGGAGTGAGGACTTTGGTCAGCTCCTGCCAGAGGGCTGGTGATATCTGCCATGGAGACAGAGGGGAGGTCATGATGATGAGGATGAGGATGAAGTGCACTGAGCAGAACCAGCCAATCCGTCAGTCAGTCAGCCACTCTGTAGACTAGAGGTTAGTAGAAGACAAGAGGGCAGCTGCTGGATCTATAAATCGATCCATGAGAGGCCGAGACACCATGATTTCCGATGGGTGAATTGGCGCCAATGACCGACATAGTGGCGATGAGAGCGGCGCTAGGAATGAGACACGCGACACGAGAAGCAGTAAACCTGAGCAAGAAGCAGACCCAGGAAGCAGATGCAGACACAGAAGCAGAAACAGGATGCAGAACCGAAGTTGGAGATCTCAAAGAAGAGAAGATGGAGAATAAAGCGGCAATGTTCCCCGAGGGGAAAATTACCCCATTTGGGGGCAGGCGGCATCTTTTTCCATTTCGCCCATCCACTTTCTGCATGTCTTGGGGATCTGGTTGATCCCTTCTTTCGCCGCATCCATTGTCCAATACGGAGTAGTTTAACCCACTTTAACCTCCCTCTCGGTCCCAATATACCCGATGCAGCTACTTTTCCCCGCGGTCCCTTTACTACTTCTTTCTCTCTCCATCTTCACCCCCCGCGCAGCACAGACCACAACGGCCATTAATTTTGACTATTATCAATCTATCCCCCGCACTTTGTCCACTTTCTACCCCAGCTCGGCTTTCGGGGCGTTACCTCCCTTTCCCCTTTCGTTATACTATACTTAGATGAATTGGGATATAGCATGCTGCATACCTCCTCCCCCACGGAAGGGACGCATCGGTCTCGCTCCGATGGTTCCGGACCAGTCTGGCCGGATACCTCGGGGTCCCATGACGATCCCTCGTGAGACTATCTCGACGTAGTTACATGCTTGATATGCATGGCTAGCTAATTGAGTGTCTACCAAGGGAACCTGTGAGAAACTACGGACTATACCATCCAACACCGAGGAATTAGTGCAACATCGCTACCATTGTTTCATCATTCATCACGAAAAAGAAAAGAGAAAGAGGAGAGAGCAAAAAGAAAAAAAGTCTAGCCTGTCTAGGAACAAGTTGAATATGAAGAAAATTTCCCCTAATCAGTGGCCGGCACCTGCCGTCGCCACACCTTTACCGGCATATCTCCCAGAATCAAATTCATCGTCTCCAGTCGCTTCAGCTCCCACCCGGGGTGCGGCAGCGCAAACTCATACCGATGCACCAGCGACGCCAGGATCTTCGTCTGCTCCAAGTACGAGATGTTCCGCCCGATACAGGACCGTGCCCCCGCCGAGAACGCCACAAAGTACGGCTGCAGCGCTTTGCCTTCTTCTCCCAACCACCGCTCCGGGATGTACTGGTCCGCCTTGGGGAAGGCCCGCTCGTCGCGGTGCGCAACATAGGCCGACATACTGACCGTTGTTTTCCCCGGCACCCACTGGCCCAGGATCTCCATCCCCTCTTCCGGCGTCTCGCGCGGAAGCCCGTGCGACGTTGGCGGGAAGATCCGGAGCGATTCGTCCAGGCATGCCCGAAGATACGGCAAGTGCTTCACCTTGTCGTATGGCGCAACGACATCGTCCGCGTCCAGCACTGCGTCGATCTCTTCCCGGAGCTTAGCCAGGCACTCTGGATTCCGCAGCAGCTGGTACATCACGTTGGCGATCGCGATCGCTGTCGTTACGCTGCCTGCGTTCATCATGATGTTAACTTCCGACACCACGTCGCCCCATTCCAGGTTGTTGGCCCGGCCGTTCTTATCCTCCATCAGCGCCTGGAAGAAGTCATCGAGCTTCTCCCCAGCCTCATACCGCCGCAGGCGCTCGATGCTGCGTCGCCACACAATGTTGTCCCAGTTGTCCGAGGACTTTTGCATCCGACCGAAGAACGGGATCACGTTGACCAGCTTGTTCAGCACCGGGTACCATTCGTAATTCCAAAGGATAAGCGACTGCTTCCGGGCCGTGGGATACAGTGCCTCCCGGAGATTTACCGTGTACGTCGACCCATCCTTCCGCTCAGCTATGCAGACATCGCTGCCCTGGTCCAAGAAGCCCAGCTTCTCCGACAGACCGATATCTGCAATAGCATCCAGCGTGAAGTAGTTGGTCCAGGCGCGGAAATCCACGGTCAGGTCCTTGGGGTCCGGCGCGACCTTGCCGGACGCCACAGCCGCAGATGGAGCGGCCGTGCACATCTTGTCAAAGTGGGCCACCACCTTCTCAACCTTGTCGCTGACCTTGTGCTCCCATGTTTCAAGGTTTTTGAGAGCGTAGGCGGATGACAGAACCTTACGCTTCCGCGCATGGTCTTCCTTGTCCACCACATCGGCTAGGTGGTAATGCGTGCCCGCCGTGACCACGTAGGATGGGTCCTTGATGCACTTGGTGTTATGGCCATAAATGTCCTTAATCGCGCGCACATCACCATAGGAGAGTGTGTTGGGTCCGGTACGGATTACCGGCTTCTCCTGGTGCAGCTCCTGCAGTTCTCGCGACCGGAAACCGCGGGACGCCATGAGCATGAACGGAATGGCAGACATTCCGGAGATTGGTGTAAGATTAGGGTATTTTCGGAGACCTGGAACAGTCGCTAGTCAGCACTTGGATTCTGTGGATAACCTGCCATATACACAAGCATAAACATACCTTTGGGGTCTCTGATATACTGCACAAACGGCCATACCAGGAAGTAGGAGATCCCCACGATCCCGATAAAGAACGCGTAAGGGGCGATTGTGAAAAGTGACCACATGGTTGCTCTTTGGGGGCTTCACGATAGAGCCGGACAAGAGAAACACAGTAGATCAAGTGATTGAATGTCAATGATGAACAAGGTTCAAGTATCAAAGGTTCCTGGTTGCTACCAGCAAGCTCTCTGGTCCGGAGAGCAGCTACTTATAACCCCAGGTAAACCAGGAGGAGAAGGGAATGGATGGATGGATGGATGGATGAACTAACCCATCCTCATGAACCGCAGAAACCGACTCCCCCAGCATTCCACCATGCCCACGACATCGTGAGTCCCTGGCTGGTGTAACAGCTGCCATGTCATTCCAGCATGATGCCGGATAAAACTGCCATTCAGGGTCATCCAGCCAGGGCGGAGAGAATTTCCCTTTTGTGCCCCGCCACCACCGACAGAGTAATAATCCTCGCGCGTTTGCCGGTCGAATTGCGATGGAATCAATTCGCAAGGATCAGATGGACCCACCAGGCTTTGACAGGAGCCCCATGCCCCGGCTATTGTGCAAATAGTTCCCCGGTACTTGTCCTCATAATAGCGGGATTGACGGTGTTTGAGGGCATCCCCCGAGATGTGCAGATCAGCCAATGAAGAGACGCAGATTTCCGGGTCCAGGCAAGTCTGGGGTAACCTGGGGATACCACTGTCATCTTGAACAGACCCATGGAACCGTGCCGAACCCTGAGGCAATACCCGGACATTCCATCCCCCCCTCTTTGAGTCTTTAGTTCGCCATGAGGATGAGGGGGCAGGCATATACCCCCTCCTCGAGGGTGGTTGATGGCTATGGGTGTCTTTTTCGGCAATAGTATTTCCCTTTGCATATATGCCCGCTGTCATCGTAGTTAAACCTCCCTCTCAGTCTTTAGCCACGTCGGCCGGGCTTCTGTGGTCATTGCACGGGTGTAATCTAATTAACACTTCATCCATAACCTGTATCTTTTAAGCATACTGTTTCATTGTTTAGACTTTGGTTATTTCCCATAGCCCTAATCCAGACCATCATGGATCCTGCAGACGACTATTTGCCGGCCATCGACGATCTGAAACCAGAGACTTTCCACGATGACAACGCTGGTGCCGCGGATGGATTGGACGATTCAATCGAGACGACGAATCCTGGCAAGGCTGTATGGCTGATTGCGTGCACGGTGTCCATGGGCGGGTTTCTCTTTGGTAGGCATGACCTAGGCCGTTAGCGTTTCATGGCCCATCATAGCCACTTCGCCGATAGACAGTACCAGCTGACATGGTTCTTTCTCCTCACTCGTCCAGGGTACGACACGGGCGTAATATCCGCAGTCCTCGTCAGCCTTGGAACCGACCTCGGACAAGCTCTGTCCTCGAACGACCAGGAACTCATCACCTCCATAACTTCAGGGGGTGCATTGATCGGCGCCGTTCTGGCTGGCATGACTTCAGACAAGTATGGACGGAAACTAGCAATCTATGTGGGCTGTGCGGTCTTCTTCGTGGGAACCGCCTTGCAAGCCACGGCGTTCTCACTGGCCCAGATGGTGGTTGGCCGATTGGTGGTTGGTTTTGGGGTGGGTGAAGCGGCAATGATCGTTCCTTTGTATATTGGAGAGATGGCGCCTGCTAGATTCCGTGGTCGACTGATTGTGTTTGATAATATTTGTGTGACATTTGGCCAGCTCATTGCCTATGCCCTCGGGGCCGCATTCACTGACGTACATCAAGGCTGGCGATACACAATTGCTATCGGTGCTGTTCCTGCTATTGCTCTGGCGGCGACAATGCCCTTGTGCCCAGAAACGCCTCGCCAGTTGATTTCCCATGGCCGTGACGATGAAGCCAAGAGAGTAATCCGAAAGATCTTTCCTCAAGCCACGGAACAACAAGTGATCAACAAAATCAGGGTGGTTCGACATTCTATTGAAGAGGTTGCTGCCTCCGTATCAGACAAGAGCCTATGGTGGCAGATGAAACAGCTCTTCACTGTAGGCGCGAACCTGCGAGCCCTGGCCACAGCCTGCTCGATCATGGCTGGTAAAACCCCGTGCCCTTCTCGTGTTTTGATTACGGATACTGATATTACCCAGTATCACAACTAGGGGGATTCAACACGCTGATGTACTATTCCGCCACACTATTCTCCCTGGTTGGCTTCAACCAGGCCACGGCCGTCTCCATTGTCGTTGGAGCGACGAACTTTGTGTTTGGATTCCCAAACTTCGCCTTCATTGACCGGTTTGGAAGACGGTCAATGCTTCTGGTCACCGTGTTGGGAATGGCAAGTGCCGCATTTTTATCGACTCGCTCAGATCATAACTTTGGCTAACATTGGCGCAGTCCCTCTCCCTGGTTGTCGTTGCCATCGCCTTCCATTGGATTCCTGTCAATTCGGATCTGAGCGTCACGGGCCCGCACGAGATGACCTGGGCAAGTATCCTTCTTCTCGTCGCACTGATTGTCTACATTGCATTTTATTCGGCTGGCGTCGCACCCATTTCCTGGGTGGGCACTGAATTTCTCCCCTTGGAAGTGCGTGCACTTGGCACAATGCTGAATACCGTGACCTGCTGGGGTTGTAATATCATCATCTCGTCGACATTTCTGTCCATGATGAAGGCTATGACCCCCAGCGGAGTGTTTGGGTTTTATGCGGGTATTTGCTTTCTCGGGTGGCTCTTCGTCATTTTCTGCTATGCGGAGGTACACAATATGCCTCTGGAGTCGGTGCGGGAAATTTACACCCATGGCTTCGGGGTGAAACACGCCAAACGATTGCAAAGGGAGCTCCGAGAGGCGAGAGCAAACGAGCAGAGTGCCCCATAGATAGATCTCCGAAGCCTCCCGCAGTTGGTCTGTGTATCATTTGATCTGTGCGCAAGACAGCCATCCTGGCGCGGACGCTGGATCCACCCCGGCTTCAAGCTTCGGCTGTAGGAAGTAGTCCTGACAGCTCAGCGCTTGTATGTACGATGAATCTTCCTTTCCCAGTTGTTATAGAGTAATGAAATGTGTTCGGTCTTTTGCACACGCCAACGGGCCGGTGAATGGATTGTCCGTAGTGAATCGAAGCAGCTTGAAACGCTTTTCCTCATTGGGAGATTTCCTGCCCCAGTCAATGGCTTGGAGCTACTATCAACAGCGATCAATACCCACCATTGCCTTTTCTTGTTTTCGCTTGTCTCACTCTCTCTTTATCTGATTCCTTCACTCTTAGCTCTCCAGGCATACTGTGGAAACTTCCCAGCCATCCTCTCAGAGGCCGAATAGAATTTGCAAATAGGCAGTGGTCATAGCGCTGTGGCAACCGAAGACCAGGAAGGTATGTACGGCAGACTGGCGCATTTACGCGCGCCGCTAGCCAGTATCTAACCAGCAAGTCAGTGCAAATTAGCCAAGCCAACATACACCAACAACAATGGCCCATTCACCGTTCACTAGAGAGCTTCAAGTGGCCTGTCTCGCTGTCCAGCGAGCCAGTATAGTCACCAAGACTATGCTGGCCGAGGCCGACAAGGGATCTACCGACAAGGCAGACGCGTCTCCAGTGACCATAGCCGATTTTGCGTCACAAGCCATTCTGATTAGCGCAATCCGCCACAACTTTCCCAGCGACAAATTCGTCGGGGAGGAATCAGCATCAGCCCTGCGGAATGATCCCGCACTAGCCGACCGAGTGTGGCAGCTGGTATCCACAACCCAATTGCATGATACCGAGAGCGAAGAAATCGTCGCAGCCCCGTCGTCGCTAGAAGAGATGCTAAGCATCATTGACCTGGGTGGCAATGGAGAAGGAGCCCGTCATACGCGTACCTGGATCATGGATCCCATTGACGGGACAGCGTCGTTCATTCAAGGCCGTCAGTATGCTGTTTCCGTGGCGCTCATCGAGAACGGCGAGCAGAAGGTCGGCGTGGTCGGATATCCCAACCTGCACTTCCACAGCACCGTAGTCCACGAAGACACGGTCGATCGGAATGGGTACGGAATTATGCTGTCGGCAGTCCGGGGCCATGGAGCGTACAAGCGTCCGATGAGTAAGGAGCGCCTGCAGCCCGCCGTGAAGGTGTACAACGTCCTGGCACGGACCGATACCGGCCAGCCCGATCTGGTATTTGCAGAGAGCATGGAGAGCCCCTACATTGATCAGCGGCTACACCAGGTTGTTCGCGAGAGACTGGGTGTTACCAAACCAGTTACTGATCTCTGGTCCATGCAAGCCAAGTATGCGGCCCTCGTGGTGGGCGGGTGCAACGTGATGGTCCGTATCCCCCGAAGCACCGAGTATCGTGCCTATGCGTGGGATCATGCTGGCGGCATGCTGGTGTTTGAAGAATCGGGCGGCATGATCACCGATCTGGATGGTCAGCCCTTCAACTATGGGCGAGGCCGGACGCTGGCAGATAATTTAGGTCTAGTTGCCGCATTCCCAGAGATTCACTCGAGGGTGCTAGAACTTGCGCGGAAAATCAGGGAAAGGCATCAAGAGGAGGGAATGAAAGACAAAACGCAATATTGAGAGAGAAGATGAAGGGGAGAAAGAGAAGAATGGAAACAGAGGAGGGAAGGATGGAGGGAGGGAGAGAAGGATGATGCGTGGATTTGAGTCGCCGAGCCAGATCAGGCCATAATGACATTGCTTCCCTTCTTTCTTTCCCCCTCATCTCTCACAGCCCCGACTTCCCTATATGCCGTTACCGATTCGAACACCAAATCGTCTACGTAGATGTATAGCATAAATAGAATCTCTTACGATCATACTGTCTGCAATCGTTCTTGAATAGCCCATGGAATTTTTAAATGCCCATACAGTCAGAACAGAAACACAAAAACCTAGGACCAACGGTCCTAAGATGCAGGAATGGAGAAAAGCCACAACAATATAATAGGAAAAATGTTCTCATCAAGGAAATTCGTGACTTCATGGTCGTTAAATATAACCGGTCGGAAACAATCGCACACGCACACACACACACACACATACCATACCATAAGATGACCAAAAAGCACCGTAACGCTGACCATCCCTCGCTTGATCCGTAGAGAAAGTGAGAAAAGCGAAGCGCGCAGTCCCAACGCTGCTCCATGAACAACCCAGATAACACACCCCTTGCGAGTAGGCTACCCATCCGCTGGGGAACCCTCCAAGGTGAAGCAACATAAGACATAAAAACGATCGAAAACCTGGCTGGCGGAGGAACCAAGCAATGCACCCATCCCAACCAGTGCCGGTGACCAGGCACTGTTCAATCAGTCCATCGAGAAACCATGCAACAAACGCAAAAGGCAAAGACACAAATAGGGCGCTGTTTGTCGAATGCAATTGTTGAAGCGCTCGGGTGGTGACGAATGGCCTCCCACCCACTCACTTCATATCCCATACCCTGCCGTGCTGAATGTGTAGTCTATTATAAGAGTTAAAAACAACAATCAGGAACGTGAAAAGCCCCACAATTCACTCCACGGAATGGAAAATAATAACCCATAACAGAACTAGAATTTTGTCTTTCCTTGGGAGATTTTTTTTTCTTCTTTTTTAATTCTTTGTGATGCTCCAGGTCTTCACCTAGTCAGGAAAGACGACTCCTGGAGTGGACGGTTACCGACGACGGGCCATAACACCGCCAGCCTTCATGGGCTGGAGCCCAAGGGGCACACCTCCAACGGGACCGCCGACCTCGCTCAGCGTCTTACGGCGCTTGCTATCATACTCCGTTCCTCGGCTGTCCGGTCGAGGAATGCGATCCACGTCATCGTCTTCCCGCATCCGCTTAGTGGAGCCTAAAGATCCGTTCATGCCTGTCGAGTATCCAGGAGCAGAGTTTGAAGCCACGGAGTAATTGTCAGAGGTCGCGCCATTGCCCGATGTCCCTCTGGTGTCGCTCACGATGTTGTATAGGCTGCTAGCAGCGGCGGGGCGCGGAGGGGTGTTGTATCCGGAGCCCCAAGGGGGAGGAGGCCCACCACTCGTACGGGGTGTCATGCGTTCAGACCCGTTTTGTTGGGTAGGAGAACCCGTGATCTCCGGGGTAAGTTGGGAGTGGTCACCCGCCAGACTGCCCACCGAAGTGTTGGTGGTGTATGTGTAGGAGCCCCGGTTGGTGTTATATCCAGAATTGTCATGCTGCACATACTCCGACTCATGCTCCGGCACTTGCTCAGCTCCATTGCTTCCAACATGTCCATTACTGTGGGCATAGCGCTCCTGCTTCACCTCAGGTGCATCCGTCTCCGGCTGGCCGCCAGGCGTCCGGCTTGACGGGGGTCCCATCTCACTCTTGATGTAAGGGTGAGACGGGATCGTTTGTCCATAGGAAGCCATACCAGTCTGAGTCATAGGTTGCTGAGAAGCATAATGGGGATGAGAAGGCGGGGCAGCAGAGTAATATGGTTTCGACTCGTACCCGGATTGGCCTTGGAATGACTGCATTCCCTGCATGTTGCTGCCCGGGGGTGTGGTGGCAGGTGTCGTCGGCATTGACCGGGCGTTGCTCAGAGCCGTATCAATGGAGAGCGGCTGGGAGTTCGGCACGCCCGAGTTCATCCCTTGGTTGTTCCAGTCATAGGAGTTGCTGGGATTGCTGATCGGCATGAGGCTCGAGGCACTAGCAGGAGGCGTGGGAAATGTGTGTGCTCGATCGAGTGTCGGCCGAGCACCGGCCTGAGACGCCATGGTGTGGGGTTGCGGCATGTGCGAAGGAACTGTGCCCTGCAGGGAGTGATGATGGTGCAAAGTCGAGGGCTGAGGCCCCTGAGATGCTCGCGCAGCCTGAGGGCCCTCCAATCGCCGCTGTTGCGATTCTTGCACCACCATGTTCGTCCGACTCTGATTCGTCGGGTGATACAAAAGACCACCAATGTTGTGAACGAATAGGGGATACAGCAGATCCGTGATTTTCTCCTTGTTGGCGAATTCGAGGGCACGCTCGAAGGGGATCCTAAAGCAAGATATAGTTAGTCCTGATGCATGGAAAACGAGCAATTCAGGGGTCGTACCAGACGCCCTTCAGATGCATGGGCCCAATCTTGACAACGTGTCGGACCTTCTCACTCTTCAGAATACCATCACGGCGACCTCTGGTCATTCCTGCGACGTTCAGGAGCTTTGTGCCGTTGATCATATGATTGTCTGTGAATACAACATCAGCACAAAAGCTAAAAAGGAGCAGCCAAAGTCAAGCTTACCTTCTCTTCTTGCCACACAGACACCCTTGGCTTCCACCTGATAGCAGAGGCTGCCTTCGTCTTCCCACAAGGTGGCAGTAACGCGCGGTTTCGCTCCTGGTGGGGCTACTTGGCCAGTGGGATCATAGACATACCCTTGCAAGGGGGTCCCGGTCGTGTTCCCATAACCCGCTGTCGGAACAGCACCATGTGTTGTTACGGCTACAGAAATGCAGTTAGCTTCAAAGTTTAGCTGACCATGACCTTTGGGGTAGAACGTACCTGGTAGAGGCAACAACTGGGTTGGGACACCACTGCTCATGGAGGTGGTCGGGGGTTGCGGACCTCCCTGAGAGGAGGTCACTCCACCAGGGTAAGCATACTGAGAGTACGAGCTTGCCGGGCCATAGGTGGTTGATGCTGGCTGCAGAACGGGTGGCTGCTGGTACTGGTAATGAGCTAACCCTCCCGCAGTTGCGGCATGAGGCGCATACGGCTGAGCGGATGACAGGTGCGATGAGTGGACATCGATGTAGGATTGTGTTTGGTTCATGCTGCCAAGTGAAGTCTGGTTTTGATAGAATCCGTCACTAACGGGGTTTTGTTGGAGCGAGTACTCCTGAGTCGAGGAATCCAATGAAAGCCGGCCCTGACCACCGGCCGTGAGGTCTGCAGACGTAGGCGGCGGGCTTCTAGCTTCACTAACTACAGGCGCAGCTCCCGATAAACTTGTTCGAGTGCTCGTGTTGTTGGAACCAAGGGCCGACGCGTCTTCGTAGCTAGCCCGATAGGACTGGCCCGAGATGGCCTGCGTGGCCGTTGGTAAACTGAGAGCTGGGAGTTTGTCGCCAGACAATAGGGGTCGCTCTGCAGCGTGGTGGTTGTACCAAGGAATATCAACAGGACCTCTGGTGTGGACCTGCGAAATCGACGGCAGCTCCAGCTTTTCGGTTGGCGGGGGTAACGGTCTTGAAAAGTGAGGCGAAACGGGAGCGGTCGGACGTCGGACTCAACGATGTGTCCGGCGTACCGTGAGAAGGTGAAAGCTGTCGGTTCTTGTTTTTTGGTCTTTTATCAAAGGGTAATTGTCAGTTCGCAAAGGTACGATCTGACTATAGCATGCAAACAACAAAGCGAACTTCTTTTTAGGGGGTGTTTGTTTTTTCCTGGGCTGGGATGTGACTTGTTGTTAATGTATCGCGACCAATAGACTGGGTCAGATACAAGAGGATCAAGTTGGCGGGTGAGCCGAACAAATGAGAAGCTTCTAACAGGCAATGCAGAACATGCAAGGATGTGCAATCGTGGCAAGCTCGTGGAAGTCGTAACCGTAACACGCTTGAAGATGGCCGGCGCAACTGGACGAAAAATCGCTATGCAGTGAGTACTGACAGAAATCTAAATCCAGATACTTTCAAGAATCTTGGGTCGTCACAGGCGAAACCATGAAAGCAGGACAACAAGCGCTTGCGGGTGGTCAACAGAAATCGCTCAGCCAAATTAGAAGCACAGAATCATGGGTCTCGTTTCAAGTCGTAAGAACAGAGCGGGAGAAGGCGACGTGACAGTCCAGCATCAAACGTCAAAAGGCCTTGGGTGACTTGCAACCAAAAGCGGTAGCACAGGATTGAGACGCGTCAAGCGGGCGAATGGCGGTGATTCTGCGACGAGTAGAGGGAAGAGGGACGTTAAGGCGTCGTAATAGGTCGTAGCAGGTCGTCGATGAACGGGAGGCGATACAGGCACTGACAGTTCTAGGAACGGGTCAATAACCTCATGCGAGCGAATTGGCAGAGACAGAGAAACAGTAGTAACAGGCAAGATAATGAGTCATGAAAAAAGAAAAGAGTAATGGGGGGAAACAGCAGGCGTAAGTAAGAAAGTCGTTCAGTTCGTCCACATAGCCACGTAGAGGGGGGAAACAGGAAAGAAGCAAGACAAGAGACGAAGTCGTGATTGATGGAGGGGGGAATGGTGGAGGGAAGCAGAGGCGGAGGTGTATGTATAAGAAGGCGTCAAACGGAAGGGATGGTACAGCAACGGAGGAGAGGCCAAGGGAGACCGGTGGGGACCAGGAAAAAATAGTAATCCGGACCAAGGAAGTCGGTCGATGGAAATTACTGGGGTTAGGGTGGAAATTGGGAAGAGGGAAATCCAAAAGGGCAGGTTAATTTTGGGTAAGGAAAAGAGGTGAGCGAAAAGGTAAAAAAAGAAAAAAGGCAAAAATGGATAATGGAAATAAGAAAAAAGAGAGAAAAAAAGAAAAAGAAAAAGGAATTTAGGGAGAAAATGGAAAAAAGAGAAAAATAAAAACCAAAGAGGAAAGAAAAGAAAAAGAGGGCAACAGATGGGATGGGCAAATGTCAGACACTCTCGACGTGGGCGATCATGACCGAGCAGAAGGACCAAGGCGGTGGAGGGCAGACGGGAATGATTGCAGCGCCGCCGGCGCAGCAGCAGATCATGGGCGAAAGGTGGAGGCTGGGGCAGAAACAGCAAACGCAGGCGCCCCCGGGCTAAGCCTGAGGTTCTCTGCAGCCGCCGGGGTTTCTGGACCGCGACCGATCCGCCTTGAAAACCCGTTTAAATCGGTGGGCGGGGAGAGGGGGGAAGGGAAAGGAAAGAAAAGAAATAAGAGAAATAGAATATGAATAAAAATAAGACCAAATCAGAAAAAGGGAGAATGTACCAACGCAATGATTCAACGTGGTGTGTGTGGATGGGTGTGTGTGAGGTTCTGTTGTTCTATCTGCTGTCCTCCCTAGGAGGATTGATAGGTGTGTGGTCGGAGCTGAAGGGGCGGGGAGGGGAAGCAATTAGAGACAGCTTTTCACCCATGGATGGCCAACGAGTGGATGAGGGAAATGGGATGGGCCGAGGAGGGGAGAAAGAGAGGGGGGGGAGGGAGAACAGGTAGTAGGTTGGGTTCAGTTCGGGAGGGGAAAGTATGGTCAGACCGTCCTTGAACTCGGTACGGTAGACCCAGTGGGAGTGGGAGTGGGATAGTGGTAGAGAGACCAGTAGATAGTACTATGGAAGTAGTACTACTGACTAGTATCTAGTACGTAGTACTGTGAAGGAAGGGAGGGGAGAGGGGGGCCAGCCGCTCAGCTTCCGCGTTTTAGTGGGAGGCTGGTGGGTTTCGGTTGGGTTTGGGTTGGCGCTGGACCGGCCAGCAGAAGAGAGTCAATCCAAGCCCAGCCTGAGGATCTCCGGCTGACGGGTGCAACCGAAGCCCGCGAAAAGACGGCCGAAACACCCAGCCAAAACGATGGAAATCGGGTGTCAAGGTGGAAAGCAACCAAGGAAGGGAGGGGCGGTGGGTGTGCTGGGCAGAGAAGGATATTCTAGAAAGGGAGGAAGGTATGCTTTCTTCTCAGACTTCGAACCACGACACGTCTAAATCTGCTCTGTCGCAGGTGGAGCATAGACAGAGTCCAGCGTATCTGCAGTAGTTCGGTGTCCTCATCGATCCAAGGGAGCGGCAACGACCATTGGGGGTTGGTCCTCGGGCGGCTGGGCGCGTACCGCAGCAAGGACAGCAGCAGAAGAAGCAGCAGCAGCAGCAGCAGCAGCAACAACAGAACTCTCACACAGCAGGAAATGGTCGAGATCAAGGCAAGACAAGACATAAGACAAGACAAGAAACAAATCACCCCGCGACTTTCGCCTCACGGGGAAAGAGCGCGTGCGCGCGTGTCAAGGTGGAAGGGAAGAAAAGCGCAACGAGAGAGAGAATAGGAAAATACACTCACATACCACCAGCACGTGTGTTTGGATCGTTTCTCGATCACCAGTTTCTTTTGAGACCTGCGGCGCGGGAATGTAAGAGAAGCTGCAAGGCAATTGTCTGCCGTAGAATGTCTCTGGTGCTTATAGCTTGTTCCCGCTCGTTGGCTGTCCTTTTTGCGTTTGGCCCTTTTTGCTCTATTATATGTATTAATCTAGGCGTCAGCCCCGGCCGGGTCCGTTTGGTCGCGGGTCCCGTTTGGTGTCGGTTCTGAAGAACGAGGCAAAGGGGAACTTGGAGAGGGACCGAGCAGTGGATCACTGGGACCGTCTGTCACTATAACTATGTACTAAGTAGTCGTCCTGGGTCCGTCTCTTTTCTCTTTAATGAAACGGAGAAAGGGAAAGAAAAAAAAAAAAAAAAAGGAAGAAAGAAAGAAAAGGAAATAAAAAAGGAATAAAAATAAAAAAAAATCAAAATAGAAAGAGGTGTCAGCAAAATCCCCCAACAGCTAAGAGGGGGAGGGATTAACGAAGAGACTGAAAAAGGAATAAATCAAGAAAAGAAAGTCATCAGAGTAAATTAGAAAGAAAATAGATAAAAAAAAATGCACGATTAAAGTGGTAAAATAAGGAAAAGAAAAAAAATATGTAAATAAAAATCAAAAAGAGGCACGATGAAATTAGAATAAGAAAAAGGGAAAAATAAGCAGAAAGGGAAATAGTCAGGTGTGGATCCCGCAACTAAAAAAGAGCAACAGAAGAAGAAGGGAAGTGGGATTTTCTGGGAGACAACGACCGTGCGTCTTGCGGAAGAGCGGAGAGACTACACCGTGGGATCTTGGTGCTGGTGCTCCTGCTGCTGCTGCTGCTGCTGCTGCTTCCTGCTAGGCTGCTGCCGGTGCTGGTACTGGTGCTCCCACTCTCTGGCTGTTCCTTCTGGCAGGGTCCAGTCCACAAGTGCTGTGTCAAGCTCAGACAGTTAGGATTCCGCGAATCCGCCACGAAGCAAGGACCATCAGCCGGATAAGCTAAACAAGACGCCGGACAGGAACCACCGTTTGGGCTAGGACGGCGATGATCCAACCGACGCGGTGTCTGCACACTGGCCTCAGATTGGCTCCAGGGGAACACGATGGTGGGAATGACGGAGAGAGAGGGGAGAGAGGGGGTGGGAAAAACAGAGTAGCGGCAAAATTGATAGGTGAGGTGGTATTGGCAACAAGACAGACACGATACGTAGGGAAAATAACCAGACATGCGCAGGAGATGTCAGACTTGGAGGGGGGAGAATAAAAAGAAAATTAATGATCACGTACCCGTGGGAATAACAATAGCTAATGACTATGATGATGATGTGAACAATGAGATCGATGGCTCAAGTGGAAGAAACAAAGAGACACCCGAGTTCTGGATGGACAGAAGAGTGATGGCACAGAAGAAGCAGAAGACGTCCTGTTCTGCAGGGTCGAGCAACCATTAAGAAACAATTCAACGCGGGCAAAGCCAGAGTAGATCAAAACAGAAGCGCCTACTGACCAACTCGGGAGACCGATCTGATTAGGGACTCCCCATCTGAAATAAGACGGGCTCATTCAATGTCTACTCCCTACTAACTCGCTCCTGATTACCACTGCAGAAAAAAGAAGATTAAATTTTAATTCAAATAAAAAAATTGATCATGGTAATCAAATTCTCCAAGGGTGGAGGAAGCCCCAAAAGACTCGGAGAAGGGGGTCATTACACCACTACAGTAGAGACGAAGGTATAGAAAAGGGAAAATTGAGAGATGACGAAAATGGGTATTTTGGGAAGGAAATAAAAAAAGAAAAGAGAGAAAGGCAAAGTAAAAAAAAGGTCACTAAAATAAAATGAAATAATAAAAAGGGAAAAGAGTTGGTAAGTCCTTCACTTCCAATTGACTGCGATAGTCGGGAGCCACTGTGAACTGTTGGGACCGATCGCGTTGCTGTAAGTCATTCGATCGTCCTGCGCTGCCGGGATGATGCTGGATCGATGGGAAGACGATCGAAAGCAACACAAACTAAGGGAGAGGGAAAAAGAGGGAAATGGAGAAGAGGGTAATTTGAAAAAAATAAATATAAAATAAAATAAAAAATAAAAAATAAGAGAGCGTAATAAAAGAAGAAAATTAAAACAGAGAAAATTGGATGGAATTATTCTCCCATGTATTTTTTTGGGCTCCGTTCCTCGGAGCTGATTTGGTCGGTCTGAAATTTAGTCAATTAGCCCAGCTTCGGTGCAGTCTGGCTTTGGTTTTTTTTTTTTTTCTAATTCATCTTTCATTGTCCTTTTTCTTTCATTAAGTCTGTTCAAAGTCTATCGCAAGTTCGAAACGTGATCGGAGGATCAACCATCTTACGACGTGTGAGAATGATGTCTCAAAAAAATGCCAGCAGCCTAGGCAGCCAAAGCAGCAGCGCTGCAGTAGTGCTTAGATCGGGCTGTGAAGAACCACGGAAGCAAAGCAACCACCAGATGACGGAATGACAGGCGTGTTCCAGTTCAGTTCCAGGTTCGAACAGCTGTCTCCACGATTGAGCCCGGGTCCCACACCGCGTCGTCCCATGGAATGGCTCAAAGCCGTATCTCTGTCACGGGGGCGGCGAACCAATGGTCAAGCATCCATGGATCCAGAAATTGCCTAATGTGGACGTACCGTTGGTAGGACTGACAGTAGGTACTAGATACCCAGAACGACTGTTAATTAATGGATGGCAGTGGACAGGCGTTCCTGTACTATTATCTAAGGTAGGTAGTGCGTGTGTGTGTGTGCAAGTACTACTAGATACGTAGTATGTAGTCCGATGGTGCGGGTTGAACGATAACCATGCTTGCCGACCGGCCAGCCTACATGCTGTAAGGTATTCTTATTTCTGGTGTTTAATCCTTAACCCGCACGAGTCAGTCTGGCGCTGCCTAAGTAGAGTGCTGACGGCAAGTCATATCAGTGACGAGCTCAATGCATGAAAGGTACCTGCTCCGTAGATAGTCCATACGCAAATGTGGATTCTGATCCGCCACCAGTAGAAGGGCGCCAGAATGGCCCAGAGCAGCCAGGGAACGAATCACAAGAAGAAGGATTACTGGCTAGTAAGACCAAAGGCCTGGAAATGTTGGTCTTGGGGACCACAAAGATGCACATACAGTAGTCATACTTAGAGTGTCTAGGCAGGTCATACAAAGCCCGCCATCGCAGCAACAATGGAGCTGATGCAAGATGTGAACGGTGTGTGGATCATAGGTGAAAGTAAGTGTATGTATAGCAGCGGGAAGCGTTCAACACAGACCAACGAACTATCTGAAAGCGAAAAACCTTGAGATCCAACAACTATCAACTATCAACTATCACAATGTGTCCTTCTAGCCTCGAAACGAGAGAACCGCCGAAAAAAGGGCCGCCTTCAAAATGGCGGTGACATGGCAAGGAGGGGGGATCAGAAAAAATTATGAGGATGAGAGAGAGAGAAAGAGAATGATGAGAGATGAGAGAGCGCGCGCGCGATCGAGCAAGCGTCGGAAGTGAGGGAAATGCGTGAGTGGTTGAGGAGATGCACACCAAGAGATTTTCTTTACAAGGGATGCAATATTACCCAACCCCGAACAATCCCTCTTGACTATACACTAGTAGTATCTTGATGTGGTTAATCTCCCATCCTATCTATCTGCTTTTCTGCTCACTTTTGTTACCCTTCATTAAATATCAGGATTATTATTATTGAGGAGGTTTATATTACTATCTTGTTTTTATCCCGACGAATGCCGTAAGAGTATTACCTAACATAGACAACACCGTCGCAATGAAATAATATTGAGATTTTCGGTCGTGATCCACCGAACTAGCCATTCTCCTTCATCGCTGTCAAGTCTGGACGAGCCCGTCGATACGAGATCTTTGCTAGGGGCAGACTAGCAGACGCCAGCCAGGAATAGCCTCGCGGCCAAGTGGAGCCTCCCCTCGGGGGGACAAGAGCTCTATTGGCCCGGGGGCTTGGCCTTTGGGGCTAGTGGTGTGTGCGATAAATAATTTAAGGCTTTCGGGACGATCTGGAGGGCGTTAGGGTGCGGGCCCCGCCCAGCGTCACCTTCCCTTCGCTTCTGACTAAAAGTGGTTCAATTCGACTGGGATAAGGGCTGACAAGTCACCACAATCAGATGAGTCTGGTGTGACTGGTCATAGCCGAAGATAAGTCGGCCCAGCTGGTAGGGTGGAAAAATTAAGAAAAAAAAATCTACTGTAGATGAAGTAATGTCGCCGGGATTTGTTGGGAGATTGTGAGGCGGCAACAGATCGAGAGAAGAAAAAGGGCGATTAACCATTTAATCGTCAAGGGATCAATCAGTAAATCAGCTAATAAATCGATCTGAAAGTAAAAAAGAGGGGTTGAGGTCCTCCCATAGTGCTGCTGCTACGTACTACTACTACTAAGGGACTAAGGGACTACTTTCGTACTAATCCATAATCTCATAACATAATCCCATGAACCTGGCATAATTTCACACTTCTGCCCGTCAAGCCCAAGTCCAGAAGTTAATCGCGACAAAATGCCTCCAAACGGGTAAAGGTCATGCAAGCAAGCGCAGCCCACTTCTTGGTTGCACAGAGCAGAAGAAGAAGAAGAAGAAGCGACCAGGATGAGGCAGAAGGACAGGGATTCCTGCAGATGGCCGTTCAAACTACTGGCTGAGAGACAACCACGCAGGCAGGGTGGCGTGCGAGCATCCAGTCGATCAAGTCCGCTCGTCTTCTCTTACACACACAGGCAGACAGACAGACAGACAGATACACACAGACACCCACACCCACACCCACACCCACTCACACTCACACACATACATCCACACCCCCGTCACTTGTCGTCTTTTTTTTCGGTCGGTAGGGAAGCTCAAGAGCAAAGACATCCTAGTTTTGTGACTAACTAGCTTCGGTCTAAAATTCTGTCAGTTGTCTTCAGATTCCCGACCGGTTACGTCCAGAATACTCTAATCCCGGTCCTGCCTACCTGCTTGCATACAGACAGACAGCTCTTCCAGTAGGTACGGACGGACCTACATGGATACCTGGTACGGAGCAGCCCGCAGCTCCATCGCCAGATCATGCGCTTTTACTGTTTTCGGCTGAGTCTGGCCGCTCTCTTCATTTGCATTGCCCTACTTACTGTAGCTTCTTGGAAGGACTCATACTTACTGTACAGTTTAGTAGGTAAGTACTGTCAGTCTATCACCAATGGAACTAACTCCTCTCTTCCCCCCCTTCCCTTCTTTCGCCCAACCATTATTTTCCAATAAAGGGGGAGAGCAAGGAAGATTTTGGAAGAGGAATTATAAGAAAAAGAAAAATAATTGAAAAAGAAACCAGCATCTTTCTCTTCTACCGCTCTTCTAGGAGCTGTCCCAGTCGGAATGAAAATCCAACCTCCCTTTCTTCTTGCTTTTTGCCTCCAATTTTTTTCTCAATCAATAGCAGGTGGCGGAAAGACTCTTCGTCTCACCCGATGAGGCGGCTCGTTGGATACATCAGACCAGCAGAGTCGGTCAAGCGCCCAACCCCGGGTAATCGACCACGACCCTGGCCAGTCTGCCCCGACCTCATTCCTCCTAAACTAATTCTCCGCTGAGGATGAATGGGTGTTCCCCGCCGATGCATGGGACTGGGGTTGTCATTGGTGGAATGCTGGCGTTTCACGAGCCAGCTTTAGCCTGGGCTACGACTAGTAGTATAGTCGTGCTGCCAGGTATTGGGCTCGTCGTCAATGTGAGGGATCTGGAGTTAATTTCCAGATTCGTCCGGGTTTAGTCTATCCTACGCAGGTCTGGTGGCTCATTGGAACCTAATCGAGCTACGTCAGGATGGATGAATAGACAGGAAAGCGCCCATGATAACTGGCACCAGTCCATTCACACCGTTTACCCGTCTCTCCAGCAGATAGGTGAGAAGAAGAGGTAGGTATGAATTAATCTATCTATCTATCTGTCTCAGATCGGCGAAACCTTCGTCCTGAGGGAGGTTGGTGCAGAGCTTCTATGGAGTCACGATGGAGTATCCTGATCCATCATCACCCAGGGAAGTGGGCTCTTCCCGCACGATGATTATGGGTACCCTGATGTACATCATCTATCTAGCTCCAAGAATGGAGCCGGTGAGGCATTGACCAAGTTCCTTGACTCCAACGTTACAGTAATTTTTCTTAATTATCGCTCGACTCTCGCGGTTGACTGACTGACCCCTGATCGTTTCAAGCCGGGATCGCGAACGATCCGGTGTAATTGGATTCACGGTCATGAAGTGCACAGGATCTTTTTTTTTGGGCGCAAGGGCATGAACTCAACAGCCAAAAAGGACAGTCCTCCAGGCCTCACCGCTGGTTCATCGTTTCTTTTCCGGCGAGTAGAGGGAGCAAGAGGGGAGGGGAAGGGCGACTGTCATTTGACTGACAAGCCCTATCATTCCAGCTGTTCATGCTCGGCTGACGGAGGAGGGGGGCGCAGACGATAGGCCCGGGAACCTTCTTCCTGCGGGCCTGCAGCAACTCTCCCTCGCGACCCCTTGCGTGAGGTGGAGGAGACTAGCGATCTTGGTCCACGACACTCTTCTCTGTCCCACTTTTGGGAGGCCCAAACTCCCCTTCACTCACACTCACACTCACACCCGCCCCCCCACTGATTTGGATTGGACTGGACTGGACTAGACTAGACTATGGATTACTCTTTCAGTATCAGAGGTACGGGAGGACAGAAAAAAAAAAAAAAAAAAAAGAAGGTGAGAAAGTAGAAGCTTCCCATTGTTGGAGACAAGGCCTTGTCTGCCTTCTTTCTTTTTCTGTCGCTCATCACCCCCGGCCCGAGGAGAGTATTACGAGTACTACAACTTTACTTTACACCAAGCCTACTCACTATCTCCTAGTAAGGTGTTACGGTGAGAAACTACGGGGAGGTGGGAAATCAATTTTTTGTTGACAGGTTGGGGTGTCCCGGATCGAGTAGGACGGCCGATGAGGGGATTCTGGGTTTCATTTTGTTGGACAAGTCGCTTTTTATTTCCGACCGTTAAGCGCGTCTAGTTCAGGACTATCCCTGTGTAGCCATCTGTTGATGGTTGTCCATTCATCATCCATGCTATGAACATTGAAGGTGGATGTTTTGGCTAGTTTGGATCCAGGATTGAACAGCGTATCCAGAAACATCCAATGATGAGCTAGCTATCTGGTAGTGTGTGTGCCATGGATGTCAGGCATGACAGGGTGCAGCAAGCAAGCAACCTTGAAACCTGGGGAGCTTGCTTCTTTCCCTCCCGGTCTTTGCTTCTTTAGCTCTTACGCCATACAAGATTGATGAGAATTTGGAAGGTCTGGCTGACTGACCGATTGCTGCTACCAAGCAGCGCCCCGCCGCCTGTCATGTCCCTGCCACATGTCCAACCGACCGACAGAGTTGAGAAGCACGACTACTGTAAGTTGATAATGAAAGTGTATTGGCTGTTGAAGGTAAGACCGAATGCACATCTATCTGGCATTCAACACTCTCACAAGCACCATGCACCTGGCGGTCTGTGTTGAGCGCCATAAAAAAAAAACCAGACTAGTCATCTGGCGGGTGTGTCAGTGCGATAGTTATCCACACCTGGTTGACATTTCCGTGAGTTACTACACAAAGTGAAATTGAAAGAAGTACATCAGCGTCACTACTGACAGGATGAGCAACACTGTCCCTCCGAGCTTGTGCCGGGACATCAATGATCGACCAGGTTGAATGACCGTCGGAGTTAGTCTCAGTGTGTTACCAGCCGGGGATCGCTCAGGGCCGTGCAGTCTAAGATGAGGATCTGCGCAGTCTTTTACTCTTTTATGTTTACCTGATAATTTTTGAATTGTTTTTCTTCTTCACAAGTTCCTTTTGCTTTGCTTTTCGTCCCTCTTTTTCTGTCCGACTTTCAAATTTATTTTCTAATTTCTTTTTTTTAGCTTAGTTTTGCCTGTGTATCTATTCTCTCTTTCTGACTGGAAGATAGGAAACTAAGACCGGCCCATCCACCCCATGTGCACATCATTATGGGACCCAGAGAGAAAGAGAGAGAGAGAGAGTGTGTGTGTGTGTGTGATCATTCAAAGCCAGACACAAGGCCATACTGCTGGATCTATCTAGTCATTCTTGGAAGTCCGCTACCGACGGCCCGACACCCGCAGCCGTCGTACATACAGCAGATCTTGCGGGGCTGTAGCTCATCCTGACGGAGTATACAGCAGGGTAGACGGCAAAGATGGTTGGCCCCGACGGAGTTATTCACCTTGAGTTGAATATGGCCAGGGTCATGGATCCAATCGGGAGGTCGTTCAAACTTGCACCGCAGCTATCGCCGACCAGCGCCATCCTGCTACAACGCAGCCCTGGGCATCCTGGGCAAACCTTTTGCTTGGAGCAGGAACCCAGTGGCGCTGGCCCTGGCGCTGCAGAGCATGCAGAGTCCTACGCCCATAGGTACTTTCGTGCCATAGCATCCTGGTTAGTGTTGTTTCTCCTCTCCAATTTCGCGGACAGCCAGACTAGACTAGACTAAACTTGAGAGACACTACTACACTAACTAGACTACTGCTGCTGCTGCTAATCCACTCTACAAAGTACTCAAACCAGCACGCTATGTTTTTCTCTTTCCCTGGGCCGGAAATTCCCAAATGGCCCGAGGATGCCAATTGACAAATGACAAGTCGTGGAATCTCCACCTCACAGGAGTTGGTCTAGAGTTGGCGCCGGAGTGAACCGCGGAGAGAGCAGAGCTCAGGATTTCAACGAGTTGAAGGGCCCGTCCGGGTCACGCTAAACTCAACAGCGTAAATGCACGGAGATCACCTCGATCCGTCTTGTCTTTCGCTTCCCCTCTTTTTTTTGCCTCTCTCTCTCTATCGTCTTCTGTCTTTCCTTTAATTAATCTATCGACAATTCGACACATCCCCGTCATTACGTGGTACCATTATTTTTCCTACCAATTCATATCATGTGTATGTTTCGTCGGAGCAGTGTGAGCCTCGGACGAGACTTGTCCATGAACCCCCCCCCCTCTCCACTCTAATTGATGGATTGATTGATTGATTGATCATGGGAGAGACAACTAAATTCAAAGCAGGATAGGAATTACTCCGGTCCTGACTGTGGGGCCGCCTTCTCTTGTACCGCCAATGCGTGGATAACCTCCTCTCGGGTCGCTTATGACTGAGATCGCTATCGGTCCGGTGCTCGACGGACGGCCTTGGACTCTTCTACTAACCAACCGTCTCTCTCTGTTCCCCTCTCTTTCCCCCCAATGTCTCATTTCCACTCTCCAGTACTATGAGACCCCGTCTAGGCTACTAGCGACTACTCACCTGTCAGGTTTCCGGCGGTACCTGCAGCTGCCATGCACGCCCCAAGGAAGGACCGCTTCCCAAGTCACTGCACCGGCGAACTGCTTCATTCTTCAGCAGTCGATAACCTGCAGCCGCCAGGATGGTAGTACCGAGGCAGCGTGCACTGGGCATGGCGCAGATGTTAGTTAGGTAGCCGGTCTGTCGCCTTACTACTTGCACCTTAGCAGGGCGCTAGTTTGCTCCGATGGTGGTCAACAGGCACTAAGGCAGACTCCTCCACTCCCTTCAGTTCTTTTTTTTCTTCTCTGCCTCAGCACGCCGTACTATCTAAAAACACTAACCCTGGCGCCCCCTGATGACCCCTGCTCTTCCTTAGGATCTAGTTGTCTAGCTGCTCACGCGGATGCTGAATCTCCGGATAATGGACGAGGATTACATTGCGCCCCCCGTTCCCCCCCCCTGCTGTGCAACGTTGGCCACGGGAATAACCGGTCGAGGACAATTTCTAGGCTAGTGAGTAGCTTGACGCCCCCCCGAACAAAGGGAGATAAATCTACGGGAAGGGGGTATTTGCTATTCTAGAAGACAATTACACATTTGGCAAAAGGCAAATAATTCCGTGCTGATCGATCTCTACTTCTCCGGCCGGAATGTGATATGGCCCCCAACTCCCGGGTCTTGTGCAACCGTCAGCACGAGCGATCTCAACGCATCCATCTATCCATGCCTCTCTGGTCGATGATGACCGGTCTCCCAACTAGGGAAAGGAAATCCGCGCTTCGATTGGCTGTGTCCCACTCAACTGTTCAGCGACGACCCTAAAAAACCACACTAAATCAGCTTCAAACCACCCCCGGTCGTCTCTCCAGCACGCCAACCACAGCCGAATTCAGCCCGAGCCCGTCGCTTTCCTCCGGACAGACTCGGACGGAGTCGATTGGACAGGCGCGTGCGGAGGGGAAATTCGGCGTGAAATCACTGTCTCCAGCACGGCGGCCACGACCGCTAGTTGGTTTCCCCATCCCATCCTTCTCTCCTTTTCCAGAGCGTTATTGGTGCCGTAAGAAAGGGCCAGGAATGAGTTTAGAGGCATCTCATCTCACGGTAGCGAGAGGGGACGGACAGTGGGCAGAGGCCAACGTGAGTGGTCAGGACTGCTGCACGCAGTAATTAACCTTACATTGCATGTTCCGTTGTTACCCGTGCACGATCGACTGCGCAGGTGGATAGCCAGTGCACTAAGCTTTGAACGATTCTACTCACTCCCCCTCTGGACATCCACGGGAGTGGATTACTTTCATCTATCCTCATCCTTTTTTTACGACGAGCAATTTGAAAAAGGCTGCTGCCTAGACAAGGACTTTAGCGGTCAAGATAACACTGACGGATTGCTGCAACCTTAGAGATCCGGATGGTGTTTCAGTGGGAGAATGCGACCGGCCAGTGAAGAATCGGATTGTTGGTGGCTGATGTCACGATTCAGAGTCTCCATTTCTAAAGAAGGAAAAGTGACCGGAAAGAGAAGAGAATATTATCGTAGTATGGCAATAGTGGGGTTTCCTTTTCTTTTACTTTCTTTTCTTTTCCTGGATTGTTGTTCTACTTTCCTGATACGGGGCATTCAGTGAACAATTCCATAAGTAGATGACCTACCATATCGGGGAACCCGGGCTTTGCAGGACGATGAGATGATGGATGGGTGGATGGAATACAGTAAAACCGGCAACACAAGGAAATTGGAGGGAAGGAAGGAAGACCAAACGGGCCACGATGATCAGCGCCAAGCGACACGGACCCTCGTCGCCCGATTGTCTGAGGCGAGATTCTCGACTTGAGGGGTTGTGCTGGTCATGATTGGGTAGTGAAGCTGGTTAGTGGGTGAGTAGTTGGTGAGGAGGTGGGAAGACGTGGGAGGGGAGGGGGCGCACCGACTGGCGGTGGAGGCGACCACGTATCTTTGCACATCCAGATTAATCTGGCAAAAAGTGAGTTGGCAAAAAAAGAATAATGAACGTGATGATGGCAGAAACGGGAATTGAACTCACACTCTCCCACACGGCAGACCAGGCAGGTAGGCAGACAGACAGACAGACAGACAGCTAACTACTAACTAGTAATTGAAAGTACCACTACTTAGAACTATCCTTGCGTTGGGATGGCGTTGTTTGGTTTCAGCTGCAACAACCCGTGATGCATACATACATACTTACATATATTATCATTTGCCAGTTATATCTGTCTCTGGTACTAGTGATAGGATACATAAAGTAGGAATAGATATACAGATGATATAACGTATGTACATAAATGATGAGGAGTCTGTCGATCGCTGCACGAGTGAGAAATAGAATAGTAACCCCAACCACCATCAAATAAAGTAGGGTTTGAACTCAACTAGTAAATAGGTTCATGAAAAGTTTCCTAATATAGTAGTGCAGAGTGCAGCAGCAACAACGTACATACATATATACTACAGAAAAATCCAGATAGAGATACATACATACATACATAACATTGAACTGAAAATCGATGACGATGATGACGGTGACCCTACATCAGCTGACAGATGATATGTACTATAGTTTATTACTTGAATACAATCCCTTTTTTTTTTTTTTCAAAAATTTTCTGTTATCGAGTCAGTCATTATGTTGGTTAACGTTTATCCCTTGATTCATTCATTAGCCACTCAATCACTCACTCACTCTCTTTACCGTTTGTTTTATTTTATTTCTTCTTATAGCTTTTGAGTTTAATCCTCCCTCCCCTCCTCTTCCTTAATTCAGTATTCCCTATTACTACTTGCATACATCCACATATACATACATACATATACACATACATGATCCTACATACTTGAGAAGAAAATAGAAAATAAAAAAAAGAATGCTGGGCAACACAAAGGGCTAGAACAAGGCTACACAAACCCGTGCAGGATGCATCATCCCAACTTATTTTTTCCCACTTTTTTGTGTAATATTATCCTTGGTTTGTTGGTTTAGTCGTCAGCCAGCCAGCCACGATGAGCTCATCTATCTCCCTCTCTCTTGTTTCCTCACCGTCTTTCCGCGGAGGGAGAGGGGGGGGGGGGAAAAAGAGGAGGTTGGAATGTGAGTGAGGGAGTGGTATGATCTATGAATCTATGATCTACTAGCTTTGACGATATTGTGCGAGGGACTCGTTGCTATGCTTCTATACTATGTATCTCATATTCTTGGGTTGGTAATGGATGGTACATTTATGTAGAGTGTAGTGTAGTGTATGCATAGCATAACTACTGTATGTCAAGAATGTGATGTGCTTATGTAGGATTTATGTACACCGAATTGAAGTGTGGTAGATTTAGTACATTCAAGTTATGTGAGTAATTGAAGCATATGGAAATTACTACCATACCCACGGATGGATCATGCTATGTCAGGCAAGGCGAGGTGAGGTGAGGTAAATTAACTTAATTCTTGGGGTGGTGTAGTTGCTCTGCTGTTATTCTTCAGAGATCACTAGTAGTATCTACTAGTAGTAGTCATGATGAAACATTCGTGTGGTTAATACTTGTAGAAAGTCGTAGTGTTCGTCTCCCATGGTGTTTATATATATTGTATGGACTTGGTGTATACCACTGCAATAATGGTAAGTAGCAACAATCTCATACAAACAAACCTACACTACCACCATACTATAAACCCCCACTTACTACTTCAACTATTATCCATTTCATCCAAATATAAACTATAATCACCCACCAAAATAATACTACATCTTACTCACCAACAACCCCCCAACGACCTTCATCACATCCACCGATAAGATAAACCCCTCGATAACCCACATCACATGACCGATAAGAAACTCTGGTATCCCCTCCAACCACCAAACAAAACACACCAACAATTAGCTTCACACTTCTTCCTCACAACTCTCTCCACAGAAGATACTACTCTGCAATGCCACCCCCCTCCAAACCTCCCCTCCTCCCAACAAACCACCTCACCTTCGACACCTGGAACTCCTCCTCAACAGGCCACCAAGTCGCCGACCCCGGATCCTCCCGCGGAATCACCTCATGGCGCGAGACCCGACGAGAGAAACTCACCAGACAGTTTGGGGTGGGCAGGGGGGATTGTACATATGACAGCAGTGAGGGGGAGAGTAAAGGGGAGTGGGTTGTGACCCAGATACCCGCAGAATTGCAGAAGCAGCAGCAGCAGAGGGATATACGGAGTATGTTTGGGGTGTCGAAACCGAAACCAATTCCTCCATCACAATCTACTATATCTATGATGTCTAAGAAGGGGTGTGAGATACCATCATTATCATTGAAGAGAGATGCAACGTCATTGAATGATTATGAAAGTAAGAAGAGGATAAGAGTTGATCAAGACGATAATGGGATTAAAATACCACACACAGAATCAAAATCAAAATCAGAACCACGGAAACAGAATAATACATCTACATCTACATCTACATCTACCATCTTCTCCTCCCTAACCATTCACATAAACGGCCAAACAACACCCACCGTCTCAGACCACAAACTCAAACATCTTCTCATCTCGCACGGCGCAAACCTCTCGCTTCATATGCATCGTGGAGTTACGCATGTTATTTTGGGGGAACCTAATACTCCGTCTTCATTGTCATCATCATCAATAAAATCAGGAATAAAGGTAGCAGGGGCAGGGGGTGGGTTAGCAGCTGGAAAGTTACAAAAGGAGATACAGCGGGGTGGGTGGAAGGGGGTCAAGTTGGTGAGGGTTCAGTGGTATGTCTTACTCCCTCTTACTTAATGGGGTTGTTGAATGGGATGTGCTAATTGTTGTAGGGCTATGGATAGTATAGCAGCAGGGAAACGTCTCTCCGAGGCGAAATATGCTGTTCAGTTGCGGACGAACCAGAAGAGTGTGCTTGCATTTACAACGTCTACAGCTACCTCAAATACCATTTCATCACTTTCATAACATTATCTATCTATCATACTATATACATTAATATCATCCTGTTCATATCATATCTTCGTATCTCATATCATACATCCCAAAATATGTCCAATCAATATCGTTAGATGAATGCTCCTCGTCTCCCTGGCAGTTGCACACTGCCTCCACTACTCGCCGATCCATGTCGGCGCCAGCCCATACTCCGTCCGCTCGACGACAGCGTCCCCGCGCTACTATGCGATCCGCGCCGGCCCATATCCACCGGCGCATACGGATCTTCGAGCGGCTCTTCGTCCGGGAGCGGTGGAAGCGGATTGACGCGCAGTCGGGCGGGGTATAGCTCTGGCGAATGCATTAACCCAGAAGGCAATCGGCCGGGTCCATCGTCGAATGTACTATCGTGTGAGTCGTATCGGTCGAGCTTCTCGTCCACATCGTCGTCCGGTGCTGTCTCGCCGCGGGAGTCGCCGCGCACGAGGCCGAGGCGTTCTTCTTCGGTAACAGACTGCGCCCGGTGGCGAGGCGGTCGGGGAGCAACGCTGCTACGCGATGCACTCGCTTCGTGGCCTGTTTTCATGCGGTGGAGCATCGTGTTGAATGAAAATTGGCGTCGAGCGCCGCCGTGGGGTGGCGGGGAGGGGGCCCCGCGCTCTTCTCCCCATGGCGTGTGGCTGCGCGAGTCGTCTGCGATGGACTGCGGGTAGCGGGTGTCGGGATGCGGCTTGTGGGCAGACAGAGCTGTCAAGGTAACAGGGTCCGGCGTGGCATGTTCATCTTGAATGGGCTGCCAAGCGGGATGGAAAAGGCTTGAGGCGCGGGATCGCAGGTCGTCGAGGAAGGAATGGCTGCTCTGCTTCGTGTCGGGTCGCTCAGGCTCGTCTGGTCGCTCTTCTGGTACGTGCGACATGCCCAGTGGCGGAACGGGATACTTGACCGAGGGATTGCGAAGGGTTCGCGTGCGTCCCAGGGTGGTTGGACCTTCGCCGAGGACGGTCTTGCGCCGGCGCAACCCGTCCCATTCGATCACCTCATTCTCCGCTGGGGGCTTCATGTCTTCCGCGCGGTCGTGGAAATAGCGCCGGGCTTCCTCTGCTTCCATCTGGCGGCGCGGAGTAGAGAGACGACGAATGATGGCGGCGGTGGCGCGAATGGAGTCGGCCTTGGGCTCGAATTCAGGCTCTTCTTGCGTGGCGACCTCGCGTACCTGGTCGAGATCTCCTTTGAAGACAGCGGCATCGGGAACGTCTTTGGCAGACTTAGACAGCTGCAGCAGGACGACACCGGCGCAGATCTGCAAAAAGCCTAGGATGACCGTGACGATGGAGGAGACGGATCCCTTGAAGCCGCGGAACAGCACGGCGGAGGTGACAATGGTGGAACTGGTGAAGAAGACATAGTAGGTGGGAGTGACCAGCGCAGCGTTGAAGATGTTGAGGGCTTTCTGTTGAGCATTAGTATGACCAACCCAAATGAGAGTCGAAAATCAGAACAAGATGGATAGGGGAGGAACGCACATTGAGATAGATAATCTCAGTCAACAGCGTCGTGATGACAAACACCAGCAAGACATACATAAACCATTGGTTAAACTGCGCCTCGCCATTAATCTGAGCCAGAATAGCAGAGCCCAGACCCTGCGTTGCCACGACACTCAACCCTCCAATCAACGAGCAAATGCTGATATACACAAACATGCTCTTCTTGCCATATTTAGGCCCCAACCAAACCGCCGTGATAATACACCCCACGATAATCACCCCAGCATAGGACAAAAACCCCGGAGCAATGACATAGCTCTTCATTTCCTGAATGTCACTCACCGACGACTGCTCCGGCGCATTCAACGCAATAACCACACTGCCCAAGATGCAGCAGAAACAGCCTACTTTCCCAACAAAACTCAGCCTCTCCTTCAGGAAGATCGCCGACAGAATGGTGGTCACCACGACCGTCAGTGCGCCCAGCGGCGTCACGAGGATAGCGTCGACAAAGGCATAGGCAACAAAGTTGCACAGCTCCCCGATGATCATCAGGGTCATGCCGCCCCACCAGAAGAGGTTCTTCAGGTATCCGTACCCTTCGCCGGCTTCTTCATTGTACTTGACGTTGGCGCGGAGGAGACCTTTCTTCTTGAGTACGAAGGAGACACCGATGAAGAAGCCCGAGGCAATGGCGAGAGAAATACCGATGGCTTTGTAGGAGGCTGGACGGGAGGAACTGTCGGCGCGGGCGGCGAGGAGGTTCACAGGATGTAGTGGATTGTCGGAGTCCATGATGAGTAGCTCGGCTGCATCGGGGACACTGCCTGCAGTGTCTTGAATCTTACTCACACACACTCTCTCGTGTCGATGCCGTGCTGACAGGTGGGAGAGAGAAAGAAGGTGTCGTATGTGAGATCGGGCGCGAAGGATAATAAGGGGGAGGAGCGATAAGCGAGAGTGAGATATAATTAGTCGGGGCCTGGCGCTAGACAGCCATGGATGAATGGTTGAGGCGCTGCAGGGGCGAAATAGATAGATAGACTGTTGATTGATTGGATTGGATTGGATGGGACTGCTGTTCCACGAGGTCAGACTGACAGCGGATCGAGGAATGCAAAAAAGGCGTGCGATCGACAGGTCCGTGGGATCGGAATGTGCCAGATCGATACTGATCGAGATCTGATGCTGCGAGGGTGTGAGGGGAAGGTATGTAAACTAATCTTAGTAGAGAACAAGGGGAGGAGAAAGTGCAGAAAAGCAAGACAGCAGGGGTGGGAAGAAGAAGAATGGCTTGCGTAAGATGAACTGTTTGTTTGTTGCAGAGAAAAGCGAGGCTGGGAAACTGAAGTCAATCGTTGGTTGATCCGGCGCCAGTTGGGCGGCGCAGCACATCCCGATCCACGGTTCGTCGCAATGCTTCTTCTCGTTTTAATTTGCCTATCCTTCTAAAACATTTTACAACTATCTCTACCTACGCACACTGTCCAGCCTTCTCAACAATAATATTCATTCATTAACGGGTCATTAGGGTATCCATCAGATCATAACCGGAAATCGCCCGCTTTCCTCGCAGGATTCTCGCAGACGCCTCCCTCATACACCATAGAAGTAGACTCATCATCAGAAATCAAAAAAAGAAAAAAGCATAAAATAGATACAGGAAGGTATTGGTATCATCACCGCACATGGTAACTCGGCTTCCGCTGCTTGTTTACCACCGGCGGCTCGTCCACTGGATACGGCGGTCGAAGTTTCCCACTCAAACTTCCACTGTGACTGTGTCCCGGGCTGGTCGTTGTCGGCATCGGCATCGGAATCCCTCCCAGCTCACTAGGATACTCAGAAGGATAAGGTATCGGTGTCTTGGGAGGCACCGGCGGAGGCATCCCATCGTGGCCATGCCCGGTGCTGGGTCGAGAGGACCCGTGCGTCCGTGAGCTAGGCCGACTGACCTCGCCAGCCCCCGGACTAGCCAGGTCGCCTGATGTCCGCCCCGGTGATGGTAGAACAGTATCCTGTGGCGTGGGGTGCGCCGGCAGCGAGTCCTCTGTCGTGATATAAGGCACAAAATCACCCGGCAGCTCAGCTGGTAGCTCCACGGCCATCGGGTGCGATGGCGGCGGCACCGACAGCACTGGACTGTGCATGATAGACGAGGTCCCATCATCGACCTGACCCGCTGCCGCATGGTCAGCCAGCCGGCGATGTTGGCGCTCAATTTTGGCGAACTTGACACCCGCGTCCAGGATCTGGTGCTTCACCTCCGGTCGCGTCAGGTAACGCCGTGTGTTGGTGCTGATGTCTGCCAGTCGGTTCCATTCATTCATGCCAAACTCGCCCACGCCCACCTCGACGTTCAGCCGGTAATAGTTGTCCTTGCTCACATTGCGCTTAGCTAGATGGTCGCGCAGCATCGCCAAGTGAATATCCTCGCAACCCTCGATCTTGGCGATCAGGCGTCGACGGGCTTCCGCGAATGTGCCCAAGGCATCCCCGAAAAAGTCCTCCCACCATTCGTGTTGCCGATTGTTGGTGCCTGGTGGGCGCTTGCCAGTGCCCACGCTGACAAACACTCCAATCTCGCGACCGGGCCACTCGTTCATTACCGCTTCATCCAGCGCCTGCGGCGAGGGGTTGTAGGTGCCGGCACCTTCGTCGATGAAGACGTGCTGTCCAATCTGAATAGGCTTAAAGGCTAACCCAGTAGCCGAAGTGGCACGACCTGCCTGCCAGACGGTGCAGTTGAACTCGGGCGGGGGTTCTTTGCGCGAATCGTAGGACCGGAGGAGGACGGTCGAGCCGTTCCGGGACGTAGTACCTTTGTAGAGTGCAGTCACAGCACTAATCAGTCAGCACATAGTCATAAAGAAAAGGAGGCAAGCAATAGAAAATTAAAGAAGGCAAGACAGCAATAAAAATAATAAACATACGTTTTCGTCCGATACTCCCGGTTATCATACAACAGCGCATCCGGATTCCCCCAGCGCAAACCGTTCACAAATGTCGAATTGCGTTGACTAGCATGACCCGACGAATGAGAGCCAGTAGTACTGAAGCTAGCCCGACTGCCCGAGCGCTGGGGCACCGACATGGAGTTGGGACTAAAAGGGGCACTGGCCAGCGAATTGCGCGCCGACGGGCTCAAATCGTTCCCCTCCGCTTCGAAGACGGTATGTTCGCGGACGCATTCGCGGATGGCTTCTTCCAGCTTGGAAGCCTTAAACAGTGTTTTGTGGAAAGGAATGCCGGCGAACGTCTTGTCGGTTTCGAACACGCGGCGGGTCATGCGGACATAGACATCTTTGCAGGTCTCGAGATCCAGGCGTAGGCGGCCCAGCATGAGGGCGATCAAGCCACCGGTTCCGGTGCCGACGATGAGGTCAAAGTGGTCACAGGGTTTGGGGATTTCATCGCGACGAGGAGCTTTGCCTTCGCATTCGACGTAGACGCGGTACATGAGTTCTTGGAGGATGATAAGCATGGAGTAACCACGGACGCCGCCGCCATCTGCCATTCACGTGTCAAATTAGTGGGGGTTTC